ACACAAAGGAGGGGTTAGTCAAGGCCATCCATCAAGTAACTGTCAGAGTGTGAAGTGGAACTAGAGAGTCACTGGCTCCTAAAATAAGTGATACTAGGCTAAAATTAAAAAAAAAATGTTGTTGCAAAGTGGTTAAAAAGTACTGTAAGTTACATGATTTAATCAAAGAAGATTTTTGAATGTGAACTCTAATAAAATGAATTAAGTATTACTATTGTAGTAAAATTACAAGAAATATTTTGGCCTGCTCACACAGTGATACCACTTACACACACTTTCACAGAAATTATGCCCACCTTATTATCTTCCAAATTTATTTTTAAAGACAATTTTTTGCAATTAATCATGTAATCTTAAATAAATAAGATTAATTTATTGGTGAGGACTAGCTGATTGCGAGTATGAACAAAATACTCTTTACTTACACTGGAATGTAAGCAGCTGAACTTTACAGAAATACCAGCAAAACAAACACAGAACAACCCAGGACCTATACACAAACTTCCTCTTACATTTGCTTTCTTGGCAAAGAGTATAGTTACTAAAGTCTGACCCTATGCCCTTAAGCATAAGGTTCTTAAATAAAAATTAAATTCTAAATTTAGGAAGAGTCAGGTATTGCTACTCCCACTTGAAGTTAGGACCATCTTACATCATTGGTATTTTGGAATCACTTAGTCACTGGCTTAAGGAAAGAAGTATTTTCCCACAAGGAAACTTACACAGGCAAGCATGGACTGATTTGCAGGAGCTAAGGATCTGACCTCTGCATATTGTAATTGGTATCACAAAATGTAAGTGAATTATTTTGCATCTTTTTACACATGCACTGGCATGAGGCCATGCACATTTGTAAAGAACAGATCTGACACTGTCAAATCAAGGCCATATAAATATATGGGTTTGTTAAGCCAGTTCATACAAACAGTAATTTGATACATGCTGAACCACGGTGGTTTCTCCAGATCACACTGACCTGGCTATTCTTAGCCATTCAGTAACAGCAAACAAAATAAACATATTTGCTGAACCACTACAGCGGAAAGTTCAGAACAGAAACTAAAAGTATTAAACTAAGAAAATAAAATACATAGTAACATATTGTTGATTATATCCACAAATTACAGAGGGTAGGACACTGATCATGTGACATGTTTCAATGCAGGTGGAAAGGGTCGAAAATGACCTAGTAACATGGTGATCCACAGCTTTCACATGTAAGTTTTAATTCTAATATTGGTATCTTACCTTAAATGAACATGGAAACGCACTTTACTACATTGAAAGAATCTTAACTATGACCAATGAACATCTGTGGAATCATTTGAGAGACGGTAACAGAATCAGTAACTATAGATAACAAACATAAAAAGTCTCTCTCTTAATTGGTAACAAAGATTTCATGCAGGGTTGGATAAAGGTTTATACAATTAGGTCAAATTAAAGGTTTTGTATCATCTGCTTCAAAAACAGATTCACAGATTATATTGATCCAAGAGTTTGTTTCTTTTGCATGGCTTGCATGCAGTTTTGTATGTGTGGGACAGAGTTAAATATATTTAACTACTGAAACTTTCCAGTAAGAGTGGTTCAGTGTGTGTTTGGTCCTTTGAGAAATGTTGGTATCAATGGCTACACTATATACACATATGTATATATAGCATGTGTTATTGTTTCATATTCCATTTTCCCAGACAAGTGGCAAAAGCACGTTCAATTTTCAGAGGGTCAAACACACATAATATGCATATCACAAAAGCAACACCTTTTTAACAAGGAATTACAGCGCTTAAAATTAACAGAAAATACTCACTTTGCTTTCCTTCTCTGTTTTTTAGCTGAAAATGCAGCTGGTGGTGGAAGTGGAGAGGATGGAAAATCCAAAACATGTATAATTTTGTAATTCTTTGTCTCAGACATTGTTTCTGCTGCAGAAAAGATACCTAGAAAGAACTTCAATGAGCCCCAGTGGATTTCTGCTTCGCATAGAGTAGTATAGATCGATCTCTTAACAGTCCTCTTGAATGTTTGCCATTTGTTGGAAATAATTTTAATGGAGTAAACAGTTACAATTAAAAACTGGAGAATTGTAAGAAAATATAACAGTGCAAAATGAGTTAGATGTGCCCTCTAGATATTTTTTTCATGTACTCAATTTATAAACATTATTTTTATTAAAACATGTAACTTCTGCACACTGTCCAGAAAAAATATAAGTAATTTGGACAGATCTTACATGAAATTACTGAATGAAATCTAGCATGTACAATTCAAACAAAAAATTGCAATTTTCATAACTTGTATATTTAGATTTTTATATTATGTGTATTTCCTTAATCTGGAATTGTGTCCTTTTCTTTCATTGTCAATACTATATAAAGTTCTACAGCAAACATCTCTATCACTTTAGGAATGCTCAACACAATTCCCTGGCTCATATCTATTAAAAGCAGGTCCATGGTAGACAGTATTTTTTCAAATCTACCAAGGATAAATCTGTAAATTTTAGCCATAGCTCAGAGAAACCACTCCTTTGCCCATGTGCAAATGGCTCTGCCCACAGTTCCTAAACTGACCACTTTTACTGTAAAAATCTAAAAAGGCATCCTTTGCATGCAAGTTTACTAAGGTACCTATACCAGTGTATCTACAGCAAGATCTACATTCAAAGGCATTTTAGAAGGCTCCTGTACCCTCAGTGCACCTTTTAAAAATGCAGTAAATGTAACTATTTGAAAACCAATGAACTGGCACCAATTTAAACCTGGGAGGGAGAGGACAGCAGAAGTCTACATCAGAATTCACATTAACCTCCCTTTCTACAACCAAGACAACAGAATGCACACAAATTAGCTCTCCATAAACAAGTTTTGCCCTACCAAAACCTTCTGTTCTTGAAGAATGACAGACTCCACGCCATACCTTCTACTCAGGTCTCACGAAGCCAGCTCCTCCCTGCAGATGAAGGAAGGAAAATGGCTAGTTTATTATGCACGGATCTGAGTATTCACTGGAACCAGTTCCAAATCTAAGAGGAGATGGATGTCAAATGCAATTCCTGGAACAAACAAGTTTGACATGCAGACTCAATCCTGCCACTTTTTTTCCCCCCTTAAAGAGAGCAGACCCATACTTTTTTTTCCTGAAAGGTCCTCAGCATCCACAGACAAGAGAGAATGATTGAACAATTTGCCATATTATATACCTTTCTAAGAATGCCCTATGAACATAGATACTGTGTACAACTATAATTCAACATTAAAGGAATCCACAAAAAAAAAAAAATCCACTTATTACCTCCTTCTTTATAAATGGGCCAAATACTTCATGCAAACTGAGTCGTGACATGAAACTGGGTATCATGTATTATTTTCTGTATTAAATGCAGATACTAAAGAAAGTTATTTCAAGGTTGTTTCATCATGTAATTTTATTCAAACTGTATTAAATGATGTATTTAATATGAATAGTGTACCTTTTTCTAACTGTATTTTAAAGAGTTAGTTATCCAGAACACATACTCAATATACAATACTTGAAGCAACAAATATAGCAACACATCTGACAAAAGCCCCTTTGGGCAAGTTGCATACATATAAGCAGATTGCTGCAGATTGGATTTGACTCTCAATCAAGCTTGCAAGATGAAGAGAATTAACCTTTAAATCCACCTTCTTACCTAAAGAAGCCTGCATGCAAGGCTACGTTTATTTCTTACTCAAGGACACACTGAATATGTCCTTGTACTGTCAAATATTATGTAAGTATAAACTGTCTAAAATGTAATTATGTTAAGTAATACTTGTAAATAGAGTTCTCAGCTTATTCATGTGAGTGTAAAATGTTCATAAATACATTGCAACCATCTCTGCTGTTATATTTTCCACATGAAATACTTTTTATAAATACTTTCTATAAATAGATCTACAGTGAGAAGTACTTATAAAAAATATATTTTATACAACATTAACTTTCCTCAGATTAACATGAACATTTAATGCAAAAAAAGTTTGTCCTTTATATCCAAAGTAATTTTCATTTGACAAAAAAATACCCACTGTAACTATGCATGTGCAGACTGTTTCTTTCAAAAAATAAAATAAAGAATGTTTAAAGTTGTGTTGCAACTTAAAGAAGAAGATGAATCCAGTAAGTTTCTCATATACACCCTTTACTTGTATATTTAAGATTACACTTTAAAGAAGGATTAACATTCAATCTATGGTAAGGAGATCAGAAACCATACATAACAAAAAAGTCACATGTACATCTCCAGCAGAAAGCCACACGCTTTATTTTTTACATCAAAAATGTCAACAACCAATTTCTAAGTGGAATTATCAGTCATATCATATTATAACTAAAATTTAAAACAAAGTCATAATGAAGTGAACCTTTTTAAGGAGTAGGGGAGACATTTCAGATATGGTTTACTTAAGCAAAATACGTATTTGATAAAAACTGAACTTCTCCAATAGCATTTAAAAATACTTACAGAGACTAATACCTGAATATTAAAGTCTACATGGCCAATAAATTTAAGGCTATTAACTCTTGTTTAATAAATTAAAAATATGAATATATTAAAGTGTATGGCTTTAAACTAATGACGGAATCTTCCAAAAATGTTCCTTTACAAAAATCTGTCAATAACTGAAGTTTGGGATAAAATAAAAACCAGCCAACTTCTATAATGTAATGTCAAGAAACAATATTCTTGTTTGTTTACATCCTTCCCACTTTGAAGTTTGGGTACCATGTATCTTTTGCACTGAACTGAAAAAAATGTTTCTCTTATTTCATGAGTATACAGCCTAACACGAGAAAAAGTATTTTTAGACCTGAAGCTTCTACAAAGAATCTACCCAAATGGTCCATATGAGTGACTGTAGAAAAGGTGTGCTGGCAGAAAGAGGTCTCTGGTCCCTAATTATGACTGGATTTCCAGACTTCCATCTTGACAATTCATGAAGAAAATCAGCCTACATCACTTTCAAGTTTCAGAGAAACAAGTCTTGAAAATACTCATCAAACTCCTCCTCCCTGCAACAACAACAAAAAAAAAAGTAAAAAGTTCTGCTTTGGATCTGTACCTAGGAGATAATCTTTGTATGAAAAAGATTTAGCAGACTTCTGATTAGAATTTGTAGCCAGTATAGATAATTTTGACTTATTCACTACATTCCAATACCCTTCAAATCTCCCTATCTGTGCAACAGCAGTGAGTTAGGATTTACTTCTAAGATAATTAACGGTACGGTACAGGGTAAGACAGCAGTGGTATGGTAGTGGCTTGACAAAAGATTCTCCTCCAGTGTTGTGTACATCTCTTTAAAACTACATTCTTAGGTTCACTACATGGATGGAGATTTGACATAATTTTAAATGTCAGAATAGTCATTAAAACACGCAGGAAAAATCTCTGCCTTTGCAGTTCTGAATGGACTGTATGTTTTACTGGCTACAACTTCACTAGGTCAAACTAACCGTGATTTTTCATCTGCTTCTGGTAGAGGACCTTTCCAAAAGTCAGCATCTGAAGGACCATCTTGTGCATCGTTATCATCTGAATCTGTTAAAAAATTTAAAGTGCTTATGAAATTGATTTTAAAATATTTTATAATTTTAAAAATTTAGATAGACTATTGCTAGGAGCAATGTTTAATTGTAACCATGAGAATGAAAAGAACAGTTTACTTTGCATAAAATGAAAATAAAAACATTTTCCAATGTTATTCAATACAGCACCAAAAACACTCTTAGATATCATTAGCCAACGTTTTTGCCAAACATTTGTTCCTAAAATTAAGGGTTTATAATCATAAACCCTGAATTACAATGCAGTTTCACCTCATAATAGTAAATGAATCAATTACTTTACTTCTACTTTATGACATTTTTTATCAATTGTAACATATCAGTGAAATTGTCAGAAAATAAGCGTTACTACATAACTGTTTCATGTAAGTATACAGCAGGAGTGAAAAACAAAAAAGTCTTGTTATCAGAAATATGCCCTGACTTAAAAAACCCCAACAATCTTCCAAAAGAGCTTTGTGACAAAACAGAGACTTTCGGCAAGGTCTGAGTCATAAGAAAACTGCTTTAGGTCTTCCTGGATCTAGCTGGGAAAATGTAGGTACTGAGGACATTCCTAAAAATCTATAGCACAGCAGAGCAATCAGTAAAAACACTCAGTCCCTTCTAGCCAGTCTACAGCAAGAATTAGTATTATGACCAGGATACAGAGACAACCAGTGCCTAAGGAGTCACTGCGGCTCTGAATGCATCCACCCACAGCAAGTAGGGCTCTGAGGTACCACAGGTGGTAACTGGAAAAGACTTTGGTTAAAGCCTAGGATTTATTTAAAAACTATTACATTTTTTGAGTAGAGTACATACTAGTATCATTCCCTGAAAGGAACTGCAGTAGTTATTTCTATCAGAAAAGTACTTTCTTTACACAGCACACATTACACAGCGCATATTTGCATACCCAGACCCCTGCAATTATTAACAATGTACCTATTTTTTGCACCCTCTACTCTTTTCTGGAACAACTTTATATCTCATTTTTCTGATTATTTCCATTATGTTACATGCCTACATTTTCATTCCTTAAACTTAAAAGATTTCCTTCTTAAAATTCCTTAGAGTTTTTTCCAGGAATTTGTAAATAAATATGTATTTTTTAAAAAAATATTTTAAAAATATATTATTTCTTATATCTGCTTGTTTTCATACAGCACTCTAATCATCTTATAAAATACTACAACTGCCAGTGAATGAAACTAAGACCAATGACAAATGAGTATGAAATAATACAACTTATTACAAAGACTTAAAATGCAGAAGATATTAAAATACTTTACCTTTATCAGAATTATCTGAATCTTCTGAAGAAATCTGATCTGGAAAGAAAAAGCATTTAAAAAATAGTAAGCTTATCTTGGTTTTATCTGTTATCTTAAATGGCTTACAAGGATATTTCTATCACAATATAGTACACATAAACATGTGCACAGGCACACACACATCATACATTCAAAGAATGCAAGTAAACACTGAAGTAAAAAGATTTTTTTTTTGCATGAGTTCAAAGATCACCAGTTTGACCTTAAATACGTTATCCTGAGATCTGTGGTGTAAAAAGGTTATCTAACATTTCCAAAAGGCTTTCAACCGCAAAGCCTCAAGCAATTAAATACTTCACAAATCTTTCTGGTATGCAATGTCCAATTCTTGGACAAATTTTCCTTGCAATGCTTATTTTTCAAAAGGCTCTTCCTCTCTGTGAAATGTAAGACATTAGTATTTTTTTTTTCCTCCAAATTTATCTTTTTTTTGCACCTAGGAATTTTTACCTAAGAAATTTACCTCTTTGACTATCTGTGTTAGTCAAAAAAGTTACAGATCTACATTTATACATAGTTATGTATCTATATCTACATATATGTAGCTAGAGCAAAACTAACTTTCAACCAGCATATTTGAATATTTTCAAAACTGAAGGTTTAAAATTTAAATTTACCTTTATGGGTCTTCTTTTTGGACTTGTTTTTTGCTGAACAAGATAATTTTGTCTTCTTAATTTTGGGCTCTTTAGAGTTTTGTACAGCTGTGCTTCTTTTCTTGCGTGCTTTGACTTCTTTCCTCCTTCAAAAAATGAATGTATACCTTCTCTATTATATATACTCCTCAAGCAACAGTAAATCTTAGGTATTTAATTCACTGAAACAGTTGTCATTTTTTCTGAAACCTATCACTAGTTAAACTAAAAAAATCAATTTAGTTAAAATGAAAAGTGCTATAGAAACATTAGGGCTCTATAGCTGGAGACAAAGGACAGGAAGTGCAAAAGCTGCTAAAATGACACTGATGCAGGCAACAGAAACAGTGAATGGGCAAGCAAAGAGTAAATACAGAAAATAATTTTCTGCCAAATTCTTATTTATATTAAAATCTTATTTTTTCTTTTAGCAAACAATTTTGAATATATGTAATGAGAAAAACACAGTTAATACAGGTTTTTAAATATATTTTCATATTTGATAGTGACAAAACCTGAGGTAGAAGAATCTCAAGCCTAAGAACATGCTGCAGACCAACAACCCGTGTATTTTATTGTCAGCATTACTTATATGGGCTTATTGCATGAATATAGGCTAACTTTTTCCTGCTTCTTTGCATAAAGAAGTCAGTAAAATTATTTCAAAGTAAGTATTACTCCGCAGTTGACAAAAAGTAAATGTTTGACCATGTTTATTCTGAATTCAAGTGGTTTTACTATTTTTGCTCCAAAAAGCAGCACGACAAATCAAACTAGTCTCAGTTAACTCTCCTTCTTCATATGTGCCTACACGGTGCTTTAATGAAACTGAATATGAATTAACTTTTTAAATGGATTAATTAACTACCTTGGATATATCTATCTAGACGCACCTTTGATTTGTGTTACTTTAAAAAAGAAATCACTGTTTCCTAGCTTAATGCTTTCCGTTTCATATGCTTTTCAGATAATTGTATGGCTTAATTACTGAGCAGTGCAACTAAGTTAATACCACATCAAGGTGCAGAAAATCATAAAAACTGAGTATTAACAGTTGTGCGATTCAGTAAGATTATAGATAACAATAAAAAACAAATCAAATGTTAATGCACACATTTTATAGGTTCAAAATTCACTATTTTTCTCTCCTATTAATAAGTGATTCTCAAAGAAGAACAAATACTCAAATTCAAAATTTCAAAGCACAGTCACCTGACTCACACATAAACCCACTACTTTTAAGAAAAGGAAAAACATTCCAGCTTTTAAACACAGCAAGAGGGAAAACAAAAAAGACAGTGTTTTGCTTTCAGAAAAGAAAAATAATCACTGGGCTGAAATTAAGCAAAAGAAACTTTCGTGGGAGTGGGGATGGGATTCTCCCATTTTGAGGGGTTCTGTACTTTCATTAGCACAACCAAATCTAACTCTCAACAGTGTCAAGCCAGTGACATTACAAGAACTCCAGAACAGAATCTATTTCAGCATAAATGAAGTTCCTAGTCATGTAGCTGAAGTTTTCCCCTTATTTGTTGTTCATTGTAACTGTAATCTATCAATAATTCAGCCCCCATATTTTCAAAGTATTTCATTACCGGTGATGAAAGTTTAGTTTGTAGGAACATTCTGGACATAGTCCTGAAAAAGAGAGAATGAGAATGTTAGAGCCATGTATTTGATAAGCATAATTGACAAAACTTATTAATACATATATAAAGCTAGAGAGAACACTATCTTCCCATTTCAGTAGCTTTTGCTTCAAATCAAATATTACAATGTAATTGCAGCCAGGGCTGAGAAAAATGGCATGATGAAAGTCTTCAGAACAAACCCAGATTTTAGTAAACCTGGAGAAAAATCACAGGCTTAGCACTGGCAACTCTTCATAAAAAAGTATCAGTGCTTATCACATAGAGATATCCCATTTTATAGATCTTTGTGGACTTATCAAATTCTTCTACAATTATACTGAAGACTCGTAAATGTCTTAAAGCTCTGCAAGAGGCCAAGTGCTGCCTCATGAAGTGTCTTCTGTACAACATTAAAAACACCATTAGCTTGTTTTACACAAAGTAACTGTGTAAACCGTGGTAAGTTTAATTATCTGACAAACATATCAAAACATATACAATATTGAATAAGAAAATCCCACTCGAGACAAGAATGGAAGAGGAATTGGTTTAATTAAAGTTAGAATTTTTGGAAGAAAACATATGTATTAACAATAAAATCAGTAGAGCTGAAGGTGTGCAAGAAGTTGTCTGGTCCAAAGCCCTAAGGATGCCTAAGCCATGTAATTGATTAAGCAATGACAATGATTAAACCCTCTTTGCAATGCAGTATTGTCTGTTAAACTCAGATGTGCTTGTATACAAAACAGCTTCTTATCAGTTATTCTAATTTTATGACACCACCAATTATACAGCATGAAGTTCTCAACCTGTAACAACTTTGTCATACATAACGATAATAGCCCTTTTCTCTAAATCAAGACCATCATACTACCTGTAATTAATTAACAAAATTATCTCGTTTTCAGCATTTTCCATTTTGCATGAACTAGTATCATTATCACTGGGTCTCACTCGATAGCTTTTAAAGCACAAGATATTTGTCTTCTTTTAAGTGTACATATCCTTGAAGGGCTGACTTACTCAATTTCACAAGTGCATTCCTCTTTTCACCGTGTTCAACGTAACCAAAATTCACCTCCCAGCTCTTCAGGCCTTCTTCCTCATCACAGCGCTTATTTCCACAAGAAAACTGACCTTTAAAGAGGTCAAAAACAGCAAACCATGGTTCAATGATTAACAAACATAGGTTTGGTGTCATTATGTCCAGTTTTGCTCAGTTTTTGCTTTTTGTTCTCCACTTCTTTCAAAGAAAGAAGCAGAAATCTAAAAGTAACATCTAGATTAAGGAAACAATTAACAGTTAATGACAAAGCAATCATACTTGTCTAATATTGCATATTTGCAAAGAAAGAACATAACTTGAACTGTATTTCACAATGTATAGATGAAGGCATGTTAGGAAATAATAAGCCTAACAGTGAATTCTGAAGAAATTAACGTCACTAGGATACATTCCATATCCTAAATGATTACTTACTTAGCAGATGGAAGTCAGACATACACCTTTAATGACAGCAAACTTTTCATAGTACCATGTATGTACAAAATTAAGATGCCCATGTTTTTAACCTTACTAGTTTACCTGATACACTGGACATACAATTTGTATGCTAGTGACGTTCCATAAACACTTCACCTTTTTTTTAAGAAAAGGAAATCCAAATCTAAGAGAAACAATACGGCAGCTTTAAAAGCTTCCTTGGGTTTATTAAGTTAAATAAAACACTAATCTAAAATAATTTGCATATAATCAATGTTGTTTACACCACTGCATTCCAAATATTGCAGTAATAAAGATACATATATTCCCTTTGCATAAGACTGATTTGTATGCAGAGCTGGCAGTAAGGATGTGTATTAATAGGCTCACAAGCAGGACTGTTCGTTAATGATTAACCTCAGAACATTCTGCTTAAGCTGCTAACTAATGGATTGGCAGTGTCCTCACATACTTCAGTTCTGCAATGTAAAACCACTTGCAATGCTAACACTTGAACCAAAAAAACCCCCAGGACTCACATTAAAAAAAAAGTTTCAAATTGATATACATTTAAATATGTTTATTCCTACATAAGTTATGGTTATCCCTGTGTCATCAGGAACAATTTGTATCAGTTATAAAGAAGTAAAAATCTACAAGGAGAATTTAGACTATGCAAAGCTTTTTGGAACTTAACCTGTTTACTTCACATCTTCTGGAAAAAAAAAATCCCAAAACAAACCCAGAGAAATGGGCAGAGAGAAAAGACAGATACATCAGTTTTATTTATGGTTAGCTGCTCTTTACAGGATGTAAAATCCATCTTGGATATTCTACGTTTTGGACGTGAAACTGGGTACATTCATGAAAACATAGAACAATATCTTCAGATTGCTAAGGCAAGCAATGAATTCATAGGTAAACCAGAACTTGACTGCGTAAACCACCATAATTCTGTTCCCTGACACATTTACTTCAATTTATGATGATCTAAATATTTGAAATCATGGTGGGGTTTTTTTAGTAGATCTCTGCCCCATGTCATACATATAAACAGCCAGGCTTCTCTTACCCTCCTTACACACTGCAATCCCTACAACACATATTCCACTCTTCCTGAAGTCTTCTTCAGCAGTATTTATCACTCTAGTATATCTGAATGTCATAAAAGCATTAAAAAACCATATTTTTGCAAAGTAAGAGATCATTATAATCCCCACTGTGTATATGGAGAACCCAAATCAAAGGCAACTATGGACCAGATTATTCAGTACTTGAAACATGACTTTTCCCACAGTTAGGACATCCAAGAAAGGAAGACACACAAACCAGTGTGCTGAGTGGACAGTTATCTAATTTTATCAGCAAGAAAAATGTATGTCCAAAATTCCATTTCCATCTGAAGTTTTGTCACCTTGCCATGAGCTGCAGGGAAGTTAGTGCCTTCATGTTCAGAATTCTAACTCTTATAATCTGGCTGTTAAATGTGTGCTTTCAAAAACTATTAGCACCTTTTGCTTGTTGCAGAAGTGCAGAATAGGTGGAAAATACAAGCTAAAGGAAGTACTAAAAATTAAATATACTAAGGAAATCTAGAAAGCCAAAAGACCGATTTTAATGCATTTTGATCAGAACTCAGATGTACCAGATGGAGATGGATACACGGTGCACTATACAGGTATTGATACCCTGCCTATCTTCCACGGATGAATACTGGGAAAAAAATAAAGGGAAACAGGTTTGAAATAGTATCTGTTTAAATAAGGTAAAGCGTATTACATATGTATTTATACATATATGAAATAGGCTAAGAAAGCACTACTACACTAGAAGTTAAACGTTAGTTCAATGAAATAGTGAAAAAATGGAATTAGATCAATTTGCAGGTATGAAACTCTATTTTGCCAAATGATATATCTGGTTTGAGTATTTTACTACTTAGCTGCAAATAATTAGAAAACAGCAGATATATCCACATGTTCAACTTTTCTCTTTCTGCATATTGCTGAAAAAGTCCTATTTCACCTCTACCCAGTGACCTTGTTACCAATTTTCCTACAGAAAACTTGTACCACTACCGCCTTTTGCCTAAAATACCTTTTATTTTAGAATTTTATGCCGTATCTTACTATTCAGGCTTTGAAAGCAGAGAAAAAGTACTTGGGAAGGCATGTCAGATACATATTTTAAAAAAGCTTAAAAGCTTTTCATTTTAAGGATTTATTTTCAGACAAACTCACTCATGTGCCTACTATTCACTGATTTATAAAATTTAAAGTAGAGTTTCTACCTTAACTTAATATTTTAATTAAGAAAATGGCCATTTTATGGAACCATTTATTGAAACTGGTGATGTATTACACCATTAACCACCATTAAGGTTACATTTTAAATTTAAAGCGCTACAACAGCAATATCCAATATGACCTCCTTTCAAAACACCTAAGGCAAAAGATGGGAGTGGGAAAGAAAAAGAAGAAAAAGAAATAATCTGGCATTTACAATTAGTAATATAAGTGATACCTCTCCTTTCACTCATCCTAACCCCTCTTCTCTCCATGACATTATAAAGACAGACATCAAAAAGAAAGCAACCAAATGCAAGTAACGCATTCCTATGTTCCCTTTTTTAATGTGAATTATCAGACAGGTAGGTATTAATGCTTTATTACATTTAATTAAAGCAAGTTATATTGCTGATATATGTATAGCAAAAGAAAGGCGTTAAAGAGTCAACTTTTTTTTTAAATGATCATTTGAAACTGCACTTGAAAAGAGCGTCTAATACACGAGATAAGGTTGAATTCTTGCGCCCCTTAGTGGTGGAAGATACTATTTCTCAATGCTTATGTTCCAATGGTATGCTTTCCATCAGGATTTCATAGAAAGGCTTAAAACTTGTAATTCTGCATTCTCCCACATTTTTAAATATGGAGTACCAGATATTAAAAGTACAATGCAGCTTTCAATTGTTTTTTCCCCCGGAACATAGTTGTTCATAAATTACTCATTTCTCATTTAATTTTAATTAACTTCTTAAAGCATTCGATAAAGCATAGAACTATATTAAAGGTAACTATATGCTAATATAATCTGTAGTGCTGAATGCAACATATAACTACAACTACCTTCAGGAGCTGTAATCTTTATAGCTTAAAAAACCCCACCATTAATGTTCACACTTCCTCTTTGTGAAATACAATTTTTTTAAAAAAACAAATGTATTTTTAACTTCTTGTAATATATTATAATAGACCATTTACAGAACTTTTCTGATCAACAGTATCATTCCATGCAATTTTCTTGCGTGTCCATGCATGACTTCTGAAAACCATACACGCGTGTGAAGATCTACCCACAGGAACAGCAATACATTCCACATCATTTTCTTGCTTGTTCAGCTACTTGAAAAAGTCCATGCCCCTAAGCCATGGAATGGGGACCACTGTGCAAAGTCCCAGTAAGACATTGGTAAGACCTCACATACAGAAGCCTCTAGAATAAGCTACTGGTTTAGAAACAGGAGTGGGAGACGTGACAACCATTCCCACTGATTCCCACTGGAGTTTTCAAAACCAGTTTAGCCTAAAACAGACAACACACATGGAGCTTCTCACTTAAAAGTTAACATTTTGCAAAACAGTGTTGGAGAAACCGTTTTCCTGAGGAAAAGTATTGAGACACTTCAATTAAATGTATTAACGACTAATGAGGTAACATAGAACTACTGGAGAAAAGCAGCTAAAAAACATCCACGAAATTCTACCTTATCAAATGCATTGTGTTGGTGTTCATTACAAATTTGACCTTGAAGAAAAAAAACACATATGTTCTCTTAATTTTAATTTATGCAGATTAGCATGCACTCTAGAGCTATGTGGCATAAAACAGCAAAGTTAGAAGTCAGGTCAATTTATTGTCTATTATTATCTGATAAAGTTACTGGTATTGTCAAATACTGTCTAACAAAACAATGTCAAAAAGCAGCAAGAAAAGCATCAACCAAGGAGAAACATAATATAAAATGAAGGACAGCATTACCTTTTCCTGAAATTACTTCCTGCTCGTGTCGCCATCTAAATCCAAACTGTTGAGATAAGAACCAAAATTAAATTGTGAATAGTCAATGTCTTCAGTAATGTAAAGACTAATTTCACTTGATTGATGTCCTGCATGTGGTTCAGCCGTTCCGTTCTGGTTAGTAAATTTAATTTCTTTCTCTGTTAATTAAAAGTATCTCTCTGCCTCTGCTTGTCAGAAGTATTCCAATTTATGCACGCAATTCAGATTCCAGTAGATGCTGTTCAGGACTGAACAGCAACTTTCTAAAAGGCTTCATCGTGGGCAGAACAACAGAATAGTAGGATAGACTGACTTTACTAGATACTTCATTGCAATTTTGTCCACACTAAAAACTGAGAAGACCACTGGAATACTGAAAAATCCATTAGCACACATCAGTGGATCACCTCTCACATCCTAAAGACTAAGACAAAAAAACCTGAACAACTGAATTCTATTTCTTTTTACATTGCCTAGAAACTTCACATGAAGAGAACACATCTACTGTTTTTGTCTTCCAGTAGACTCCACTTCGTCCTCTCAAAATGGCAGTCTAGTGAAAAGGTCAAAGATGGAAGGGAGTGAGAACACCCTGGGAAAAAACAATTTTATTTTCCCTAACAAGTAGAAAGAGGGGATAAACCTCAGAGGCATACAGCTTCTCCAAAAAGAGCTATTTTGTATTTTCATTTAAAATTCATGAACACAGGATGACAACAAGATAAAATTGCTGCTCTGTAGGCAAAGCACTGAAGACTCTGCACTTGATGTTAACAGATGAGGAGGGAAGAGGGGGAAGAACGGTTACAAAATCAGAGAGTTACAAAAATGGCTGCAAAAACCATCCTTGGCACCTGAGTTCCAAGCATCCTTTGGAATATGAATCTTCTCTTGGTGCACTCATAAACTGAACCTACAAACACAGGCATTTTGCAGATGCAGTGGCATAAATTCTGTAATATACTGGGTTGATTTTCAATCTTTTAAATCTAATTTTAAACACTGTACCGAAGTACAGGATCTATTGCTGTGTGTGGCCTTTAATGTTGTTGATTTTTTTAATAAACCATAATAATTCTTTACCTGAAGGGCAACAATATGGAGCTCTCATGCATTAAGTGGCATATGGTTCAAAGAACATCAGAAAAAAGAGGGGAACAAAAGTTTTAGCTCTTAAGAATGTGCCATACTCTCATATAAATGCTTTGCACCTTAATAACAAAGCTGAAAAAAATGAGCAGAAACACATCAGTACCCAAATGTTTTGTCGTCACTTATTACATAGCTGATGTCCAGGAAAACTAAAAATTTGTACAACAGTAAAATATTTGCCTCTTCAAATCAGTCCACTAATTTTCAAATTGGTATTACAACATAAATAATGTTTTCACACCTACTGGTTTCACTGGTAAAAAAATCACAGGAGAAGATTAGGTTCTATCCTGCTGTGTCTGATGACAGTTTGAATCATCTAAGGCTGGATCAGGTTGTGCTTGGCCTACTCTACAAATCTGCAGTGTGGTCTCAGGCACCATTATACCACTCATGCTTCAGGCAAACAAAATTAATCAATTGTAAAAAGCGAGAACTGTGCCAAACAGTTCAGTGAAAACAGTATGTAAAATACATCTGTAAATGTAGAATTCCTGATGGAAACCAGCTGATGTAAAGAGTGATGGTAATTGTTTTTGCTCTTTTAAAGGGTATTTGCTGTTTTACAGAATATTCTAATTCTGAAAAGCTTGTGATACAATTGAAAAATACTGCAAGTTTACGATTAAATGTCAACAGCATTTTGGTACCAATTTTGCATGTGTGCTGCTGGCAAGAAAGAGTAAAAAACAATTCAACCTTATCTATATGTTTGCTTTTTCATAATCCATTCGCTACTTCACCAATCACCGAGCTATCCATGCTCACTTCTCCTACTGAAGTAGACTTTTATACAAATTTTTCCTCACAGTCCAAACTTGACTCAGTAAGATATAAATGAGATTATATCCTTACAGAGTATTTCTGCAATGATATCAAGACAAACAAGCAAAATAAAAGAAAGGAGGGAACCAGAACTACCTGTAGTATACCTAGGACAAAAGTTGCCCTCATTCACATTCATATTTGCCAATCATTCTTCCACCAACTAGTGGAAGATGGCACAGAGTGACCAAGGTTAAGAAGAAACAATAAAATAAGAAGTAAATACAATTAAATTCCTCTAACTAAGCTAAAATACTAGGAACAGATTAAACTACATAGGAAAATTAAAAATTCGGGTAGGTTCTTGAATAGTCAGCCTGAAATATTAAGGAATGCAAAAGCATCATCAGCAGACAGCATTTATTCTGCCTCATCTTTGTTAAATGAGTTCACCAAGATCCTAAATGAGCTATTTCTACAAGGTAGACCAAGACCAAATAGAACAACTCCAGATATGGTTTAGTGGGCATGGTGGTGTTGGGTTGGTGGTTGGACTTGATGATCTTAAAGGTCTTTTCCAACCTTAATGATTCTGTGATCTCCAAAACAGATGCTTTACAAGAGTATCAAATGTCTAACTTAATAAGAAATCATAGTTTTTAAAATGTGAAAGACTGTTTAGTAGCCATAAACAACTAAATTTCCAAATTAAATATGGACTGCTTGTGTAATATGGATTGGCTACATCAACAACTAACATGTCCACAGTCACCTTTCAGAAAAAGAGAAATGTATGAATTTAGACAACACTGTAGAAAAATACCATAGATATTTTAAATATTTTTATTTTCACAGAAAAGCCTTCCATGCTGAAAAACAATGGCAAAAGCGAACATATTAACATTACCAAGTGGAAGACAAGTTGGCCTAGAAATCTGAAAATTAGCTGAAAACAAAACCAAACGAATAAAATGTTTAATGACCAGGTGTCAGACAGATTTCATTTCTTAGCAAACAAGAGACATTTCCAGTCTGTTAAGCTACAAAATGAAGCAGAGAGACAGCAAATAAGAAACTTCCTAGGAAAATAAGACAACAAAGAGAAGAGAACATTTCTAGTCCAATGCATATCAAAGTAAAACTTACATGCAGAGCACTCTCCCTTACTGCATTGCAAAACTGACAATGGAACTAAACTATCTGACAATACAGACAGTCATTTATCAGCCTCAGAGCTTGCAGACAAGATGCACTGAGGTTCAAAGACAACCTTGACCTAAAAAATTATGATCTAGGGAAAATGTAAGGAGTAACAGACACACCACAAGCAAGAGCTGTCAGACCACACTCTTCCAGTGTCTCTAAGTAGCCTCACACTAGAAAGTCACCTTGTCATTTCTCATTAAAAGAGAAAGAAAAGATTGTATGTCCTAACTATTCTAGAGAAGTGGGACTATGTGTCACAGGGTCCCATGTGTGTAGTGCCAGCAACCGAGATGAGTGCAGGTGTGCAAGTGAGTGCGTGAGCACCAGTGAAGATCAAGACAGACTAGCCATCAGCTACGTGAAGTGGCCTGAGAGCAAGGAGAGTGAGTGGGTCTCCACTGGCCAGTTGGGTGTGAAAGCACATGTGTATCTCTAAGGATGAGAGCACAGAGGGGTCTGCTATGGGACCAGGAGAGTCCCCATCTGTGTGTGTGTACGTGTGTATGCATGCGCGTATGTGACTGAACAGTCTGAACCAGCAACTGGATTGCAGCTGTGGTTTTGGGGTTTCATATGTCTTGGGGCTTCTTACTGTTTTCTTTTGAGCTTCAGTCTTTGACAAGGTGCTCTGCTTATTTTTCAGACCTCAAGAGAGCCCCTCCCATGACACTGGTCCCTATCACTACCCAGTACTTAAGAAAACAGTGTTTTTTCTCAGAAGAAAAGTTCTAAAGGAGATCTGAGCTACAATCTTTATGCAGAGGTCTTCAGAAGAATCAGCTGGCTAGAAGATTTTGGCTAGTAGCAAAATAATTACAGTTGTGAAAAGACAGATGAATATGTATGTGCAACTCTCAATCTATTTTTTATATAATTTTATAGATATATATATAGATATACACACATATTAAAAAAATCACAAAAAACTGACCTCCAACTTTATTCTGACACCACCTAGCAGGATACAGAATCATAGGATCACAGAACAGCCCAGGTTGGAAGGGACCTCAAAAGATCCTTGAGTCCAACGTTTCCTGGGAAAGGGAGCCTGGATGACATTAGCTAGTGCTTTATGCAAGCGCATCCTGAAAACCTGCAGTGATGGGAACTCTACCATGTCACTGGGAGGTTGTTGCAGCAAGTAAGTGTTCTCACTGTAAAAAATATCTTTCTATCAAGGCAGGAAAAATCTGAAAGCACAGACTGCATTCCATTGGTGTGAATGGGAACTGATCAGCAGCCTATTTCTGACTTTCAAGAAAAAAAAACCTGCTTTGACATCCTTCTGTACCAAACATGGGCAAGGATAAATCAATAATTGAGAAAAATCTTGTTTTTCCTATTTTTCTAAGAATTTATAAGAAAGGACTCTCACATGGTCAGAACATATTTGAGAACAGAAAGCATAACCTAAGAGAACAAATTACATGATACAGCAGAGTGATGCTGACATGGCAATTCCAAAAATATAGGTAATGACTTAGGAGCATAAATAGGAATTCAGAGTGACCTCAAAGTTAGGACAGCCACATATGAAACAGGGAAACACTGTTCACACAACACACACAAAAGAAAAAAAAAAAGGAAGCTGGGGCAGAATAGTTTCCCACAAAAGATAGCAAACATATGGAAACTTGGCACAGTAGCAAAAGAAACAAATTCTGTAAGCATGCTCAAGGGAAAATCAGTTGGGGGGGCGGGCAGAGGTTGGGGGATATGAAACAGCTATAGGAAAATAAAATCAGATATACTCAAAAAGGGAAGTAAGACATCATCAGCATTTTACTTTTTGTTAATTTTCATCTAATTTTTGCATTTTTCTGTTCAATTTTCTTTAGAACACAGTCATCTTTTCTGCCTCATATTACAGTTTAAGCCCGGCCCTTGAAAATATCTACCAGCGAATGTAATTTTCAATACTGTAAATAGTCTCAAACTATAAAGTGTCTCAACATTATATAGACACTGTTTGGAGGGCTGGGTTGTTACTATGTGCTAACAACACTAAGACACATCTGAGTTCAGCAACACTGTTTGCAAATTCACAATAGAAAACTCACGTATTCTTTTTGACTAAGAGGTTAGTCAGTCAAAAACTTCAAAGCAAAAAAGGCTGTTCTGGTTAAAAGAAAAACTGGTGCTGGAATTTGGCTGTTTCTCTTAACAAATTCTACTTATTTACAACAAATGTACAAATCCTGTTTCCATAAACAGAAAAGAACAACCAGCAAAAGACGCTGCTTTAGAACATACATTCCAAAATTGTTCCTGCCAGCATTCAAGCACAAAACTCTCTTTTTAGACTTTTTTTTTTTTTAACAGTAACATTCCAGGGCTTTTTTAGGCTTCATCTAGTGCTTCTCTTCAGGCAAACCTCTCTAGCCTTCTCTACTTAAGCTCTTTGCATTTTCTGCCTTTCTTACACACAATGTACCTCTTCATAAAACACCATCTGACAGACATGCTCCTGTTCCCACAGAAGCACATTTTTGGGGCAGTGACAATGCTTGGATTCAAACTGCTGCTGCTTATTAAATAACTTGACAAGTTCTCACAACTCTCTTTCTAGTAGTACTAGAAAGTGGTACTAACATTCTGGTTTCACAACATATCCACAATCATAATGCAATTTTTAAAAAAGGACATACTTTAAGACCAAGATGATTTACAGTAATGAAATCTACCTTATTCTCTTTGTATCTGCTGAGATCTGCTATACAGTATTCTTTGAACAATTTATCATAATACTTCTTTGCAAGTCTCTTCTCCCTATAAAAAAGGCATTATTTTTTATTAAATATAGAACAAGATACAATTCATTTTAAATTGTAATGACATTAGGAAGACAAAGACATGTTTCATCTGAAGAACACAAGTTGCAGAGCTAGAAACACAACAGAAATACACTCATTGAGCTAAGGGGTAATTTCCATAAAACTGAAAAAATACATCTAAAATATATCTGCGGCAAAATTTAAACTGTATTTTTTTCAAACCATGCTTTCTTCAGAGTTTTCAGAACAGTCATTTCGATCTCAGAGAATGCACAAATATTTCTTAGTTCTTTCTGTCATCAGTTCATTTTGCCATCAAGCAATATTACAATATGAAAGACCTCCTTAAAGGCCTTTCATTTTTAAATGCATTGAAGATCCAAGAATGATCACTATGTATGCACAGTAATTCTTAATTAGCGGGGACAGCACAAATTAGTACAAGTGATCTAAAAATAACATGTTCTATAATAGTTCCAGGTACCAATTCATGTCTACTTCATCGTCTTCGTTCCACAGGAATCTATGGTTTTCTCTAATAACATCAAGATCCGTCTTGTCATTTGCTCTATAAAAAGACATTTTTTTAGTACAATGTAACATTGAAATGAAAAGTCAGTCAAATAATAATTTGGTAAACAACAGTATTTCACAGTTGTGATCTCCACCTCATAGCATAAAGGAATATATTGCTATGGAATAAGACTATCAAAAAATGTATTCCCTGGCATACCTTTTCCCAAATGAAAAATCCTCAGTGGAAAATGGCCACTGAAACTGTGGATGAGTTGATCCTGTCTGAAAATACTTTTTATTGAAGACAGTAATGTTAGAAAGCAGTTAGAGATAGCTCTAAAAGTTATCATTATTCTGGACAATGGCTAGCAATTCTGCACATTTCAGAAGTATTTCAGACTGATATTTTGAATGTACTGCTGGATATTTTTCAATGTACCCTCAATGCTCACCTGTCATCTTTCCTTTTACATAACAAAACAAGAGTAACTCAGCTCATGGTAAAGTTCTTATATAAAAATAATGGCGCAAAATGAAACAAAGCAATTCTGTGTTTTGGATATTTACAATGACTGTAGTTACTATATATGACCAAAAGAATTAGTAATTTGATACTTAGCCACCCCCTCCACCCCCCCACTCCCAACCTATAATACATATTTAACAGTTTTACATAACAGGGGAGCCTTGGGGCGTGAGGGGAAAGATTGCTAATGGTTCTTACCCAGAACGTCGGAAATCCTCTATTTTGCCACCATAATATAAAATGTAGTCATTCACAAACTTCTTATGCCTTTCATACTGAATAAAGCAATTAAGGATTGTTTCAGAACTAATCTTCTTTTATTTTACCATAGTTTAAAACAAAAAAAAAAAAAAAGAAAAATAAGAAACTTTTTATATACTTAACAGAAAGAAGTTTGTTTCCAAAAACCAGGTCATTTATTTCCAGAAAGGAAAGAATTAATTAGCAATTTTTACTTAATAACTTCTCATAAAAGCTACTTTCCAAATACAGGAATTCAAGGCAATTTCATCTTTAAAACCTCATCCAGCTGCCAGACCTTTATAAAATTGTCTTCCTTTATCAAAGATGCTCTCTAAGCATATACATGGAAACTGGGTTCATTTTTTCAGCTATAATTTAGAGAGCTTCCCAGTACTGCAGTTTTGGTTTAAAACAGGTTTGTATTTTTGCATTATAAAAGTAGCCTGGCTACTAAAATAGAACAATTTATTACATTTTAGCATCAACATACAAATGAAAGTTATCTGCTTTAGTTTGGAGATGAAAATCATGGGAAATTATGTAATGCTTTTTTTAGAACACTTTGGCCTCTGAGACAATTTGAAGCACATTTTGTACCAGAGCATGGTTTAGCGGGCATGGTGGTGTTGGGTTGATGGTTGGACTTGATGATCTTAAAGGTCTTTTCCATCCTTAACGATTCTGTGATTCTCCGATAATTTCAGCAAAAATATGTAATTACTTAACTGGCATAATTAAACACATTTAACTCAATATACTATTTTGTGCTGCCATTTGAGTTACTAAGAGTTAAAATTGTGTAACAGTAAAGGTTACTCAAAAACATTAGCAGAAACTCGTAGAAGTCTCTACACAATGCATTTTGTAGTCATTCCAGAACAGATTGGCTTTTCTGTGGCTAATGACAGTCTACAATGTCAGTGGGACTGTATAAGACATGTCCCCTTTACATGCTTAAGACAGTTTATGTAGTGCCTGGTCAAATTCTGAGCAGGTTAGAAGAAGTTACTTTCTGTTTACTTGAGTTTCCAGATTTAAGTACGTCTTTCAATATTTAATTAGTCTTTACTTTCCTATTTATTAACTGTTACTGCTGAAGAACAGCTATTTAAACAAACAAGAAACTGATGGTATTTCAGATACACTCACTCAAAGCATGTGATGACTGCCCCAGGTTAAAACTAAATAAAAAGAGGAAGATAGTAATATAAATAAAGTAGTAGTTATAAAAATAATTACAAATTACACATGAAATATGATTAAGAGATTAAAAATAAAATAAAACTACACATTATATTAAACAGAATATTAGAGTGTCTGTAGAAGATATTACGGGAGATAAGGCTGTTTTGAATAGACTTTTGAATTAACTAATGCATTCTTAAAATTTCCAGTAGAAATGTATGTGTCCGCAGATAATAGCAACCTTATATAGAATTAAGTTCTATATAACTCAGCTGAAAGATTAGAGTGTCTTCCTGCCAGTCGAAATAAAATTCAATGTATAATAATTTAGTCCCAATCAGGACAAATGAGCATATAGGAAGAATACAAGTAGAGGCACTCTCAGAGACATTTCAGCAACAAAAAGAAGCTAATTTGAAGAATGACTCAGTATCCGGTGCTGCACTGTCAACTGCTGTGATAACTGAGAAACCCCAATCTTTCACCATAATGGATAACCTGCACCCCATCTTCAAACCTGAAGAAAAATTAAATGGAAGGATACGGCATCCATCGCCATCAAGTGAAATCTTCTTTTTTTTGCTTCTTCCCTGTTAATAACAAATACTTTTTAGTGAAAGCTATCTTTATATTAAGGGAAAAATGCCTCACAAAAGCAATAGATAAAAGATACCTATCCCATTCTTCAGCTGCAAATCGTCTGTGAGCCACACTGCTTTGTTTTGGTTTTTGGAATGGCTTTATCAGAAGGCCATCTTCCTTTGTACTAAAGGTAGGGGGGAAAAAGGAAGAAAAGTTAGTCGAGAACTTTTCATAAGCAATAGAATTTCCATATGCTAAACTTTGCACTAACTTGAATAACAAAAACTGTTACATTGCTAGTTTCTACATGAGTAAAACCAAACTTCAGAACCAATGTTAGCTTAGACTTTACTTCATTTGCAGAACAAATTCAGAAAGGCATTCACTTACAGTTAGCATTTAAAGAAAATTGCTTAATACAGCAATTTGTAATATTTATTTTTATCAATACTATCACTACAGAATCACAATGGAAAAACCCTGAAGATTCCTCAGTTTCACTCTACATTTAAAGTCCTCTATAAATATCAGCTACACAGCCAAGTAGGAACAGGAAGGACAGTATGTTCGCTGAATGAGAGTGACTGCTAGTAACCCTATCTCATCCTTTCATGCTAATGTCTCAATACCCCATTAAACAGTTCTGCCTCTTTTCATGTAATCACAAGAATCACTAATTTAAAACTTAAGTACTGTGTTGTGAACCATACTTGTCAGTGGGCAGCTAAAAATACTTTCAGAATTCAACAAAGTAATAGAAAGTCAAATATAAACTGACGCACTTTAGCTAGCAAAAGGTAGTTTCATTCCTCAATAGAGGGGAGGAAAAGATTTTTCCATAATTACCAGCTGGCAAAAAGAATAGAAGTCAGAAACCTGTAAAAGGCAAGCCAGGGAATTTATATTTCAAGCTATGGAATGTAAGACTCCAGAAACTAAGCACATTGTTTGCTCAAAAGGATCTGTAGGCACAAAATTCCCATAAGAAAACTCCATAAAACAGCAATATGGAAAAAAATTAAGACTACTATTTTCCTTAAAGTGAATAAATATCATCATAGAGCAAGAAAAGGATATATACACATACAGTGAACCCACATTAGAGCCTCACTGGGAATCAGCAGTAGTGTGCCAGAACAAGAGTAATGATGGTATTTTTAAAAGGCTCCTGACGGTTAGCTAATATTCCACCTAGGAAGGGGAACGGCATAATGTGTAATGGTCTTTAAAAGAAAACAAAAACTAAACAAAACCAGTCACTGTTTTAATGAAGAACAGCTATATTTATAAAATAAATGGAACAGCACAATGCCTGCTATTATTCCAATGATTAAAACACGATTTTTTTTCCCAGAATGCAGTCAGACACTACAAATCCCATTCCTTCAATTTTACTACCAAGGAAAATATGGACGAGTCCTAGGAAAGTTTCCAGAAAGCCTTCTTAAATGAAGTCCAATAACAGAGCAAGAAAGAGACAGGAAAATGTAAAAAAAAATATGTACAACCTAGGCAAAATGTTCAGTATGGTGCAGAAAGCATTGAAGGACTATGGTGCCAAAGCAAATTAAATACAAGAATAAATGAAAATCTTAATAATATAGTGAGATCAGACTACAAAATTCAAGGTCACTAATTGTGCGAACCACTGAAAGAACTGGCAAAGGTGATCTCAAATAAGAGATGCGTAGTTACATTTCAAGGACTGAGTACAACACAATTCACCAATTCCCAGGTCTCTTCACAAATTAAATAATAAACAAGCAGCATCAGTTCTTCACTTCCTCCAAGCAGGTGTTTTATATCTACAAAGCCTGCTGCCACTTGGCTTTTTTGCCTTGCTCTCTTAGCAGTTCCACGTGTCCTGATGGATCACAGTCAAATGAAGAGCGCAGCCAAACCCCAACAGTTGATACTAATGCTTGGAAAAATGAAACACTCTGCTCCGAGATCTGAGGGGCATATAGACACCAGATGGACATGGCAGAATGGATCTTCATCAGCTGCCCCATGAGACAACATGCATTGGCAAGCTTGACATGAGGAGATGCAGGAATCAGAGAGATTGATTTTTCAAAAACCATTTCAATGCCAGACTTTATATACCACGGCATAATTTTCTACACACAGTAACAGGCCATTTGCACAAAATACATAATACAAAGCGTTAATTCTGTATTACATTACCTTTTAGTCTTTTGCACAGACTTCTCTCCATTCTCCTCATCACTAAAATCAGAATCATAGCCTCCATGGCCACGTGCCTGAAAATAATACACAACACAGTGAATATACCTGCTAATGTAATATGGACATGGTATAACTAGAAACCAGTACTGTCCATCATGCATAAATAAAATGGAGAAAGACAGAGAGCAAGTGAGCAAGTGCAAATTCTCACATATGTCTAAACCCAACCAAATTCAACAGACAATGCAGAGTATATTCCAAATAACACAGGGCAAAGAAAGACATCGCCAGTCTGTCAAAAGATCACTTTAGAAATAATCTGTATGCAGAGTTCCCCATATTTAATCTTCACATAGATAAAGATAACCAAAAGGATGATAAACATCTTTAGTCTTTACTTTCAAACAGTCTCCCTTACATAAGAAAACAATTAGTATTTTCCCCAGGAGCTACTCTTTCAGAGGGCCGGAAGACAGCAACTGATGTGCCCACATTACAAACAAAGATAAGAACAGGAGTTTCTTGGGCTGTGGTACAGCGTTTTAGATCATTAGATCCTACACTGGTAGCTGAAAAGCTGATTGAAATGATAACTAAAATACAAAATAACAATACACCTGCAAAAATGTACCATCTAATCAGCAAAACATTCCTACTATGAAATGAAATCTTTTTTTCCATACACTTTGGGACTAAGAAAACCAAAATATCCCATATGTTAATGCTATCAAATGATCAAGCATTGACTGATGCCCAGATATATTACCTCCATTTTTCAAGGCACAGTTACATTTCCAATTCTTTCAGCAGAAGTAATGGCTTAAGTAGAGCCCATCTCCTTTCCCTCGCTGCTACTCCAGTACCTTCCTTAGAGTTGCTTAGTTACTGTTGTGAAACTACACATGAACCAGATCAAACAACTCACCCGAGTTACAAATGATCCTATCCAAAAGAGATTATTTTAACCCAGATAAGTTTCCTAAGAGTTCATCCAGAGCCCCCCAACTAGCTACACCAGCCAGCTGGAGGGGTAGCACAGGAAGAGAACAGTCAGAGCTGGGAACTGCGTAAATGGGCACTGACACCAAAAAAGCATTTACACAACTGCAACATTTACATGACTGAGCAAAAAACAAGAGGGATGCTTATTACACATCTGTCTGGGGAAAGGATTGACACATACTTCCTAAGTATCTTGGTATTTCAGACTGTGGATGAGAAAAGAAACTGAAAAAAACCAGTGCATTTGATTCAGCGTTGCTGAATCCTACACTACCTACAATCATATTCCTCCTCAAACGAAAACCTGAGAAAAACAAATATGAAAAAAAGCAAAATCTCTTCAGGATGATTTTGATGACGTGCCTTCTCTGGATGCAAATGTCTCCCAGAAATGCCATGCTGGAGAGTCAATCATACCCTCCACTGACATCAACAACTCTGCATCATGCAGAGTATGTAAGACACTGTCTCTTCACACTGATGGTCAAAGACTGATTTTTAAGATTTTTAGAAAAATATTTTTATTAATAATAACAACAAACCGTATCTTTTTTCCTTCCTTTCATAGTTTAATGTTCCTTCCATTCTTGAACCCCTCTGAAGAAGGCATAGTTCTCTCATATACATATATATTTGAACAAAAGCAAATCAGAACTTTCTAATTTGCCTTTATGTTTTCTATTTCCCAATAAATTCACAAAAATGATCAGTTACCAAAAAAACGTGCAGCAGTTGTCTGCAGTGTCTGGTGTAAGTGGGCCTCATGCACTGGCAAAAGAGCAGCGATGGCGCGAAGCCCTCAAAGCACAGTCCCACGACAATCCACAGTTCAGATGCAGGTCTCCTAGCTAAGGTGGTTCTAACAGCAAGCCTGTCACTACTTTTATTGAAGCTTACGTTGTCTCTAAAAAAGGCTGAATACATTATCAGTGTGCAGCACATATATTCATACTTGGCCTCTAAATTTTAAAAATATCATGGTAATCCAGGAATGTTTTAAAAAGCAAAAGTAACGCTTCTCAGATGAACACTGAGGATTTCCTTCACACTCGAAAGGGGAGAAAGTCCAAGCCAACACAATGTGCATGAAAGTCAACATGACACAGATGTTGTCTCACGTTGCAAGAAGAGAAAAGTTCAAATAAAAGGAGATTTTCCCAAAGTGGTTTCCCTTTAATGATGGGTCCCAGGAAAGAAGTAGACATACTTGGGAATCAGCTCCCAACTGATTCCAGGAATCAATCAAATAATAAAAAAAAAATTGCAAGAAAAGTTGCTCCAACAGAGTCATACTGTAGGTCTCTCAGATGTTGACAACTACCTTTTGGAAAGCTGTGACTGTGAATATAAGGCATGGCTAAGGACTGAGTTCTGAGAGGGCGCTCTTCCAACAGGAGAACTCTTCACAGCTTCAACCATTGCTCTGAATCACTACAGCTGCTCAAAAATAAATTCAGGGTGAAAAAGAAAACAACTCACGACTGATGTCCTGATACTTCTCCGTCACTCCTTCTTGGAAGGCAACAGCAGGATGAACAGGTACTGTATCAAAGTTGGGTTTGACATCAGCAGCTCCAGCAGTGCTGGATGGCAATCTTGGGGTCCAGCACTGAACAATTACTGACTACTGATGCCTTAGGATGATACCAAGATAACCTGACTTTTAGGTAAAACATAAAAATTAACTCCATCAAAGAATCTCATCCATAAGTAAGTCTTTCTGCTTTGGAAGGACCGTGTAAACAGACATCTGCTTAATGTTGCGAAACCTCAAGGCTGATTTCTCCCCTTCTGCACAGAAGATGCCAAACAACAATCCCAGACAAAGAAAATATATTTAATATTTAACTGTAGTAAAAAAAGGGGCAGATAGCAAAGCTTTATGCTGAAGCTAGTAGATTTTAAGAGGCATAGGTAGACACGGACATGCAAAATTGTCAAGAAAACTTAAAATAACTACTTTCACTATTTGATAAAGCCTTTAATGTAATCTTTGCTTTGACCGAATTTGACATAAACTCAGAATGCTTTCAGTAAGTTAGCAAGGTAAATACCAAACATTTTATCAAAACATGAACCTGAAAGCTACATAACTTAAACGTTACAGTGTGTTTTGTTTGTTGCACCAGCTTTGAACTTTTTTCCCCAAACAACAAAAAAACCCTGAAACCACAAAACTAAAACAAGTACCGATATGCTTTGGGATACGCTTAAATTACTGGCATTTAAGTAATCCCAACATCTTGGATGAAATAATAGCAAAGCAATTGGAGACAGAACCAAGCCCACTAACTTAGGCCTCCTAAAAACCAGCAACCCAAACACAGTAAGCATACAAACACTGGATGCAACTGATGGCAGACAGAGCTGCCAACTGTTGATGTCAATACCGGACACAGCGGACGCCTCAGCACTGCATTTACAGGAGGTATTTGCACCCAGAAAAGGAACCTCCTTTAACACTCTCCACTAGGGTAAACGCACACTATTGAAATGGACACATCATAGTTCGTTTTGACTCCTGACATGCAACTGAACAGAAAAATACAGTTTAAAAAAAAAAAGGCAAAACAATCCTACACACAAAATCCCAATTTGTGGCTCCTCACCTCAGCCCTAACCTTGTTACTCCCCTCGCTAAGCGTCATTCCCATCCCTCCCTTTATCTGCCCAGCACACAGGTCTCTGCTCATATCTGCTCACAGCCTGGATGTAGCCCAAAACAAACCCGAGTACTCATTTTGGTACAAACTACTGTGGGAGGGTCTGAAGGGAGCATGGGATCTAGAACGGGGCTTGAGGAGCCATCCTGGCTGGAAAAAGGGTGCCATGGGGAGGGTCAGCATACTTCACTGCAAAATGCTCTTCCCACCTTGAAGTTGTCTAAACCCCCGAAAAAAACTGAGAGTAAGTACAATTAGCTTGCTGGTAAAATCAACTACAAAAAGTATTTGCATATACCATACAGTGAACAGCCCTAACAAAGAGAAAAGACAGCCACAAGGTACTGCCCCTTTATTAAAGCTCTAAAACTATGAAAGGAGAAGCACGAGTAACAACAGACCACGACAGTGCGGATTAGAGCTTTGTGGGGCTCCACGGAAAAACGGCCCGTGTGGGTCCGACACGATTCCCGAAG